ACTCGAGGCTGACCGCCGTATCGGCTCGTCTGGAGGACATTGACCGGCGATCTTCGGTCTGTGGCCGAAAGATCGCCCAGGTGAAGACGGACGAGGGCCGAGCGACCACCCTCTACAGCCACCACAAGTACCCGGCGGAGGAGATTGGCACGGCGGAGACGGTGGACGGGCTGCTTGCCGACGATCGAGGCTACTCGCTGGAAGAGGAGCTCAAGAGGAGGTTGGCTGCGAAGCCAAACTGCTCGGCTAAAAAGTACGAGCAGATCAGCAGCACGCATATTCCCTACGACGATGACGCCAAGGTCAAGTCGCAGTTCTTCATCTACGACAAAGTGCCAAATGTGAGTTTGATTTCGATTTCTATTTCATCATCGATCTTTACGATTTCTAAAACTTTTCCTCTTCTTTATAGAAACGCCTCATTCCCGACCAGCTTTCCGACGAGGCCATTCCCTGGGGGTCCATCACTAGCCTCAGCTCACTTCTGCTCTTCAACTCCTCAGTCAACGCCTACACCATCGGTCGGCACGCTCAGCTGGGAAGAGGCGCCAGCTCTCGAGGTGCTCGAAAAGGAGGCGGACCTCGTTCACTGGCCAGCAGTGACTCACCTGATTCAGGCTCACTAAATGCCGTGCCTCAGTCCACTACCACCGTCGAGGACCCGCTGAACTTTGCCCTCTCCTTTCAGGCGGCCCCCGAGCTGCTGGGCGACTTGCCAAGCGCGCTGCCCTCGCTGCCGGGCATCGCCGACGAGGCCTTCCGGGGCCTCTTTGACGGCCTGCCTCCCAACGATGAGCTGGGAGGGGGCAGCGAATCGGGCGCGCTTCTATTTAACCTGCCCGACCTGGCGCACATGAACTCCTCTTCGAAGTTCGCCGCATCCTCGACTTCAGCCTTATCACTGCCTTCAGTGTCAACATTATCATCATTACCATCATCATCCTCTTCAGCAGTACCTCCAGCGCCTCCTTCAGGAGCTCCACCTCCTCCACCACCTCCTCCTCCACCACCACCACCACCTCCTTCAATGGACATTCCTGAACCGCCTACCTCTCCACAACCTCCTCCGCCACCACCTCTTCAAACTTCTTCCACTACTTCAAAGCAGCAAACTCCTGAAACTACAACTTCTTCCTCTTCACCAGCAGAAGGCGGCCGAGCCTCGCTGCTAGACGCGATTCGCAAGGCCGGCGGCCGCCCCACAAAGAAGACGATCAAGGAGCGCAAGGCGGAGGAGAAGCTAAAGAAGCGAGAAGAGGAGGAAGAAACTTCGAAAAAGAAGGTGGTCACCGCAGAGCCGCTGGACATGATGGCGGAGCTGCAGCGACGACTGCAGTCGCGGCGGACCGGCATCAGCAAAGACTCCGAAGGTGGTGGTGGTTCTCAGAAACAGCCGCGGAATCTAGGTCCACCGCCGGCGTTGAGCAACAAATCAATCGGGGCTCAGGCGATGGACAATGTCATGGCGAAGATTCCGGAGCCGAGGAGAGCTCCGGCGAGTTCTGATGAGGAGGAAGATGACGACGATGATGACGATGACTGGGCGGATTGATCCCTAACTTTTTAAACAGTGAAAACTTCATCGAGCTTTTACTCCTGTTGTTTACATCCGTTGAACAATAACACAAATCCTCTTTTTTCTCAGCTGAACCAAAACTACTCTCTCATGTTCGCCAGGTTGACCATCATCAACTCGCGGCGGATGCGGTAGGGCTCCTCCTTGATGGCCTTAATGTAGAGGAGGCCGACGAGCAGGGCGACCACAATGGCGGCCAGAACGAGGCCGAAGAGCAGCGGCTCTTCGGTGTAGTTGCGCCAGCCGAGGAGGAGGACGAGGGCGGCGAGCAGGCCGGCGACGTCGTAGGTGATCAGCAGGCCGGAGTTGGTCTTCAGGGCGCCCCAGATGCCCAGGGAGCAGAGGGTGATGACGAGGAGAGAGGTGAGGAGGATGCCGCACTTTTTGGTTGTCACCACGTCGTCCATGACGGCCTGCGGGAGGTCGGTGGTGATGGAGGGCAGGCGAGTGATGTCCAGCCAGAGGAAGGTGCTGATCACCAGGTCGAGGGCGATGAAGGAGGCGTTAAGGGTGATGAGGGTCGCCTTGGCAATGAACATCAGCGTCAGGAAGCGGCGGCGAAAGTCGCCGAAGCGGTTCTTGATAGACATGATTGTCTGGTTTTGTAGGTGGGGAAGATGGTTTGGGTTCTATTTCGAAATTGTGTTGAAAGGATTCTCCAGCTTAAGTTGAAAAGTGTTGACAATGGCGAGACAATGGCGAAACAGTGCGTTCTTCTTTCCTCCTCCATCGTAGCCTTGAAAGGGAGACGAGCTTGATGATCATGATCATGGTTGCCTGAACCAGGAGAAGATAATCGGTATGCCTGGTCACGATCTTCTTTCTTTCTTTCTCGGTGTAATGAGGCGGCGTTTATGCGTTCGGTTGAAGAACTATTTTGCAGTTGTACTTCGCGCGACAAAACGGAAAAACGGAGAAAGAGTTTCCAGCCGCAGCAGTGGAAATAGTTTCGGCAACTTTAGCAGCTGCTGCAAAAAAGGTAAACACGTGTGAACGATTTCGTTTGTTTTCACTCCGTTTTGGAAGTTCTTCTGAAGCTCTACCAAAAACTATGGCCATCGAAGAGGAGTACCACCACCACGAGGATGATCAGCCTAACACTTCAGACGACGACGACGCCCCCGAGGAGGTGGGCAAGGAGACGGCAAAGCAGGGCGCTTTGGAGCAGCTGGAGCGAGAGCACTCGGCAAAGGTGGCCGCCGTCGAGGCGGCCAAGTCGAAGCGTCGCGCCGAGATTGAGCGAAACACCGAACAGCAGCGGGCAAAAAGGGAGCGGAAGATCGCCTCCACAAATACTTCTGCCGGAACTTCGCTGAACAGCATTCCCGATGACCTCCTGGCGAAGGTGGCCGCCAAGAGGAAAGAAGAGGATTCAGGAGTTTCAGAACCCGAGAGCATCCCGTCTCCTTCTAAAAAACGACCTCAGAACAAGCGGACCACTGTCTTTGACGACGACGACGACTACGAGCCACGTGAGCTGGAAACCGAGGCGACCACCTTCACTGCGGTGAACTTGGCAAAAGCCAAGGAGCTGGATAATCCAATCACCGCAATGCGAAAGGACAAAAGCAGCTGCTTCAACTTCCGCAACCGAATGCTCTTTGATAAGAAGCGGCTGCGGCGGGTTCACAGCGGGACGGCCGCATCTTATCAGTCAAAAAGAGCTATTGCTTCGAGGCAAAACTAGGTTCGAAGAAGTGGGTATTTTTTATTGTATCATACGAGTCAGCGAAAATAAAAAGTCTCTCTTATTTTGTTTGTCATCATCATCTTCACGCACCTCTCTCTTTCTCTCTTTATTTAATTTAGTAGGGTGACGGGGAACTAAGACAGATTTGTTATATTATAAAAACAGAGCGAAAACAGAACAACAAAAGAAGGAAAACATAAATAAGAAGTTGACGGCACTCTTGGGCCACCATCATCACCACCACCACCATCTCCAAAGGATGCGGCCAATGTTAAACAGATTGCGATANGTAGGGTGACGGGGAACTAAGACAGATTGTTATTATAAAAACAGAGCGAAAACAGAACAACAAAAGAAGGAAAACATAAATAAAAAGTTGACGGCACTCTTGGACCACCATCATCACCACCACCACCACCATCTCCAAAGGATGCGGCCAATGATAAACAGATTGCGATGGTGAAATGATGGGAGTTTGCAAGAGGATGCCGTCTACCTTGCCACCTGTTGCCACTGTTTACCAGCCGACGCCGCGGAAGAGCTTTCCGGCGACGAGGAGGGCGGCGCCGAGGGTGACGAGCGATGCGGTGAGGCCGGTGCCGCTGTTGCAGCGCGTCACATTGCAGAAGCACTGGTTGACGGCGCCGCCGTAGCCGGCGCGGTTCGCACAGGGGTGCTCCTGGAACATGTACGCGCACTGGCGGACGACGCGCGAGTGGGCAGGCAGGGCTGGGGATGGGCGGGTTGGGTGGAAATAGAAATAGAAATAGAAATAGAACACACATTTGGTCGAGATTTAGAAATCGATGATGAAATGGATGAACAGGTATTCAACAAATGGTTCTACTTACTGACTCCCTGGTCGTAGTCGACCTTCTGCGAGAGCTTCCAGCAGCCGACCGCCGTCTGGCCGTTCTTCGTGGGACAGGCCTTCAGGTACTTCTCCTTGAGGGTGTTGTTCGCTTCGCAACCGGCGTCGTCCATGGAGTTGCACTGGTAGCAGCGGAGGTCCTTCAGCGAGTCAGCGGCGGAGCGGGCGGCGGCCTCGGGAGCTGGGGCGTCGCCCAGCATCTGCTGGTGCTGGTCCTTGTGCTGTTGCAGGTGCTGCTGGGCAACCACCTGCTCGATGGTGGGCAGCTGGCCGTCGGTGGCTCGCACTAAAGAAGGGTAAAAATTACGTTTGATTTCGAAGTTTCACCAGTCGAACTTGCCCGAAGCGCAGAGGGCCAAGAGGCCGCAGAGAAGAAGCAGTGACACCTTGGAGAGCATCTTGTTCGAGTCTTAGAGGGAGAGTTTGTTGCTGTTGAAGAAGAAGAAGAAGAAAGAGAATGTTAGAAATCGAAACGTAGAAACAAACACAAAAAAGAATTCAAGTACGATTTAGAGATGATGATGAAGATGGGATTGAGAAAGAGAGCTTCGATCGACTTCTCCTCACCGCTGTCCGCTTGCGTCTGACGATCGGTCTCTGGGGCGGCAGTCCAAAGTCGGCTCGGCTTGGCTCGGCTGTTTATGATGTCGATGCTGAGCACCTGAGCACCTGTTTCTTTTACGTAGGCACGTTCTTTTTTCTGCAGTGGCTCAACCAGTGGTCGGACGACGTCGGTCGCAGCCTGAGTCATCAGAAATTACTGCCGTACAAAAGAAAAGAAGGAGAGAGAGGATAGAAAGTAGTGTCAGAGCACGAAGGGACACAGTATCTTTCTTTCTCTTTCTCTCTTTAGGTATTATATTTACACACGTCGGGTTGACTTACTTGAAGAGAGAAAGAGAGGGAGATGATCTCACTTTCTGCCCTGTCATGCTGAGTTTTTGTTCTTCTTCTTCTTTGGCTCCTCTTTAGCTTCTCTTTTTCTCCTTCTTCTTCTTCTTCTGTGTCCTCTTACCCTCATCACTGCCGGATCTTGATGCTATACCTTTAATTTTCGCTGTGCTCGAGCTTGACCTTCGAGTAACACAAAGAGACCGAATTTAGCAGCATTTTCTTTAGCAGTTGGTCGCTCATTAATGCTCGCCAACGGATTTTTCTAAAAAGGAATCAGGATCTGGTAGAGGCAAAAGAGAGATCGTCAAGTCGGCAACTGCTCAGTTTATTTATTCATTACCTACCTCACTTACCGTACAGCTGTACCAGAAAAAAACCAGATTTTCAGTAAAGAAGAACAGAAGNAGGAGAGAGAGGATAGAAAGTAGTGTCAGAGCACGAAGGGACACAGTATCTTTCTTTCTCTTTCTCTCTTTAGGTATTATATTTACACACGTCGGGTTGACTTACTTGAAGAGAGAAAGAGAGGGAGATGATCTCACTTTCTGCCCTGTCATGCTGAGTTTTTGTTCTTCTTCTTCTTTGGCTCCTCTTTAGCTTCTCTTTTTCTCCTTCTTCTTCTTCTTCTGTGTCCTCTTACCCTCATCACTGCCGGATCTTGATGCTATACCTTTAATTTTCGCTGTGCTCGAGCTTGACCTTCGAGTAACACAAAGAGACCGAATTTAGCAGCATTTTCTTTAGCAGTTGGTCGCTCATTAATGCTCGCCAACGGATTTTTCTAAAAAGGAATCAGGATCTGGTAGAGGCAAAAGAGAGATCGTCAAGTCGGCAACTGCTCAGTTTATTTATTCATTACCTACCTCACTTACCGTACAGCTGTACCAGAAAAAAACCAGATTTTCAGTAAAGAAGAACAGAAGTGACTGAAATCAAAAGAATCCAAAGAAAATTTTTGGCGCCAAACCAGAGCCTCGGCTATTGCCACGGCGGCAACAGCCACCATTACCACTCCTTCGGCTAACCGCATTTTTTCGGAAGTTTAGCGGAAGTTCCATTGCCTGCTTTAACTCGATGTTGGCGCGTTTTGAAGCGGATATGCGACCCTTCCTGACGAAAGCCTGATTGGTAAGTGATGGGGAAATTTTTGGGAATCTTTAATCTAAGGCGTTTTTCTTTTCGTCTTTTAGGCTTTGATATTCTACTTTAGGGTGATATTATTTTGGCTCCCTTTTAAAATAAAAATATAGGTTGATGATTAAAATTGATTAAAATTTAATTTGTTGAAAGTCAAAATTCGACGTAGACATTTGAATTTTTCAATTTTTACCCTGTTTTTGGCGGGTATATAACAGACTGCATTTGAGCCATTTTAGACATACTATTTGTCATTTATTAAAAAACTTTGAGTTTGTACTAATTCCGTCCTGCATCTTTAGTGCAGTTCATCATTAAGGTTGCCTGCTGTACCTCTCTTCACCTTTACATGCACCGCTTTNCAAAATTCGACGTAGACATTTGAATTTTTCAATTTTTACCCTGTTTTTGGCGGGTATATAACAGACTGCATTTGAGCCATTTTAGACATACTATTTGTCATTTATTAAAAAACTTTGAGTTTGTACTAATTCCGTCCTGCATCTTTAGTGCAGTTCATCATTAAGGTTGCCTGCTGTACCTCTCTTCACCTTTACATGCACCGCTTTGGATCACTACAATTTGTAAAACATGAAAACTTACAAAACTTGTCAATTTTCAACAACCATTTCGACAACTAGTTTTGTTTTTTAAATTATTGATTAACATTTTCTCCTAATTCTGCAAAGTTAAAATTTTGAATTAAAAACTTACCCAAAAATTAAACAACATAGTCAATAAAACNTTTTTAAATTATTGATTAACATTTTCTCCTAATTGTGCAATGTTAAAATTTTGAATTAAAAACTTACCAAAAAATTAAACAACATAAAACTGAATGATTCAAACAAAACTTTTAAAAACACCATATTTCAATAAAATGTTTATAATTTTTCAGCGAGCTGCTTCTTTCGTATGGTACATCTTGAAAGATCTGTTAATAACCCGTTTCGATGTTGTCGTCACTCCAGAGAATGTGGTTATCAAAAACCGGCAAATGGCTTATCACTTTATTTACATCATTCTTTTCACCATGTACGGCATCATATTCCTCGAATTAGAAGCTACCGGAAGCGTCAACTGGAGCGGACTGTGGACCAGTGCCTACCTTTTACGTTTACCTCAACGGAAAGTTTGTAATTTCATTTCACTGCTTACTTTTTTACTGGGCATTTCAGTTCTCGTTTGGAGTTGGCTACTTTTATTTTGGTAATCGTTTTTGTGTGTTAAATTTTTTAAAATATTTGGTTTTTTGTTTGTAGCGATTGTCGGTTTTCCTGTTTTTGTCATTTTGACAAATCGTTATGTAGCTCTACAGCAACGTCTAGTTTTACTAAAGTTGAAAACAGTCTTAAAATCTAAAAGTGATCATTTAGCACATCGGCTTTTCATTCTCAATCGCCAACTGATGTCCATCAATAGTGATCTTCAGGAATACGCGCGATTTTGGAGCCCATATTTTACAATTGCTTTGCCTAATCTAGTGATCACTTTAACTTATGAAACTTATTTTCTCACCAACGACAATAACATACCAATAATG